TAATTTAGTGTTAATAACGATAGGTTTCGGCCTTGCAGAGAAATTGTCAGGAAATCTTGAGCATATTTGTTTTTCTACCATGAGAATTTCCGTCATATATTCATCTGTAACATACATAGTGTAAAAGGTTTCTGCGTGTTCATGCAAGACACCACAAATCACTTCTTATTTAATAGCATGCTAATAATCATTTGTATCCAAGGCTGGATTCAAGAAAAGTTTCCTTGAATGTAATATTTTTTTCTTTTTCAGCCGTACCTTGTCATTTTATAAGACCTTTGGATTAAACTTCCAAAAACCTTGATCTTAATCATCGGCCATGAATATTTCTCTAATTATATTTCATTTTCAAGCTTCGTTTTGATGCATTTCAAAGTAGCATTAATTTTTGACGACCTCCATTTTGAATCAACAACATTTTTTAATTGATTAATTGTATTTTATATAAGTACTATTTTAATATTAGTTTTTTAGTGACTGGCCAATGAAAACAAAGAATGAAGGAAATTTCTATTTTTAATAATTAGGTTCGAGCTGATGTTCTAACTATTTTATTGGTTATTTTAGCAAGCCAACGCCTGTCGTGACAAGTCGAAATAGTGACGACCGGCACTGAATTCAATTTCATATGCAGGCATAATTGATGAAAGGTTGTAGCGATAGCCTTATCGGGTAAAAACTTTATTTTGACAACCTGCAGGACATAGGGTTAATATAATATGTCACTCACGAAATGTAAATGTTAATCAATACAATGTAGCTATAGTAATGATCATATCAAATTTTAAAAATCTATAACTCACTACAATTTCTTTTTGTAAGAAATAAAAATACATGGTTTCAATTGATTTTACTTGACATAAGTTTTGCCTAAATAAAACATATGCATGAATTTTAGAAAAAAAAGAATCTAAGAGGCAGTCCACTGAAAATCAGGCAATGGGTGGCACATCGCATGTCATGGATTTTATTATTTTTTGCATATAGACTTATTAAAGCAAGTGTTTACACATGACAACATCAAAAAAATTTTTGTGCTCCACTAGTCCTATTTTTGGTAAGTGCTCAATTTTATGGGTGTAAAAAAAATTACTACGTTTTTATTTTGTTTTATATGTACCAGATACGCAAAACCTGGATGTGTCTATCAATATTATTTATACCATAGACTCTTATCTTTAATTTTAGTAATGAATAAGACTCCAATTTATATTTCTTTAGAAAAAAATATGTGGTCCAAAATTGAGTTTAGCAAGTAACTTTTTGAATTCATTATCCAATTTTCATTACGTTATAAAACCCAATACATTTCAATGACAGATTTTTTTTCTCATGTTATTATGAATACAAAGTACAAACTTTTGAGTCACTCAATAAAATCAGTGGGCACCCTTATATTGAGAGAAATAAAAGGAGTCAAATTTACTTATGTTTTACAATTTTTCACAATTAAACCGATCCCGACCGGAATTATATAAAGAAGGAAATACTGTAATTGTAATGTTGAATTTGGCTCTTTTGTTGTAATATGGCAAAAAAATTACTTGATTTATTTTTTTACAAATCTTATGGGTGGCAGTTGTCTTTTGTTTTATAACTTTACACATTTTGCATTATTTTCAATCGGGATCGGTTTTATTTCAATCGGGATCGGTTTTTACCGTAAAACTAGAAATATTCTGCATATTATGCATCAGAAAAGAATATGATTGTCTTTTATTTCTGTTCAGTTAATCAACTGTTTTAAAATTATTTTATCCATGGATTCAAATGTTTATACAATTTATTTAAAATACTAATGTCTTTTACGTACATGAAGATTACAATCATGTATAACATCTGTACGATTTCTTGATACTCGGTATTAAAAAACAAGTATTTGTACATGCATTATGCAACAACTGAGAGTAAACAGCTTATCTTTATTAAATATCTTATTTCCAACTAAAGTTTTTTTTAATTCTCTCGTGAATTAAAGAGTTCAATTCTATCATTGGCGAAAATATGCTTGCACTACTTAAATGCAGAAAATATTTAAATGTGCACAGTCTCGGCTTTATCCAATTTTTTTAAACCTGTCATCTATAAAAGCCGTTTCCCCTATATTTTCATCTTATAAAATTTAATTTTATATTAATAAGAAAATAAGTTATTTCATATATAGTATTATGATTTAAGAGCCTAGAAATCGCAAGCAAAAAGCCGGGACGGGGTGGGGTGGGGGTGGGGGGGGGGGGGGGGCAAGGCGGCATATTAAAAAAAAACTTTCATTAATGGGAAAACATTTTAGAATTGGCCAACATGGTCACATTTTTTAACTTCATGTTGAATGTGAGTATGTGATTGTTTCAATCACCAAATTTAACCAAAAAAAAAAAATTACCCAAACAAAAACAATACAAAACAAAAAAATACGCCCACGAAATCTTCCGTTTTAGTGGCAAATTGAAGTAGGGAGTTCAACAGTAATTTTCCTCAATAAATATTTTTTAAATCTTACTTTTCACTTTTTCAATAAAATATTTTAAATCGTACCGCGGATCGTTTACTTTGGTTTGACTGCATAGATAAATATAATCAAGTGTTTTTTTTTTGTGTGTGTGTACAAATATCATGAAATAAATATCTCAACTCAGTTGACTTGAATTAAATGTTGCGTAAATCTAAAATATTCATCTTTCCTTGATAATCAGGAGAAAATAAAATCTCTTCACATCCCAATTTTATAAGAAATATTCAATATAAACAATTAATTATTTGTACGCATAGCCTAGTAAATCAGTTTAAAAAATTAGTTCTCGGACATGTACAAAATTACTTTTAAAAGGGACTTCTAGCTGAGACGTCGCCCGTGAAAAAAATACATTTCATATATAAAAATATATGATTATTTAACATGTAGGATAATGCACTCTGAAAGGTAATTGAACAGAAAAAGAGAAATTATTTATTTTTAATCGTTTTATTTGCGCTTTTATGCAAAGAATTTACAAACTTTTTTCGAAAACTTGTAACTATTTAATTGTGACGCAATATTAGTCAGGTATATGACGTCACTGATACATCAATGGAAACGTGGATTCAACCTGAATAATACTGCCAATCTTAATCTAAATATTACGTTTGGAGGCGAAAATGAATTCTATTTTGAAAATAAAGTAGTAATTTTTTGTTAAATAATTTTATTTTGTGTATATATTCTAAATATTTCACTAGGATTTCGATAGTAAGGTGTTTAGCAGATTTACCGATGCCACGGGAGATAACTCTTACATCGCAAAATTTCATAAAAACGTCTATATATTTTGACAGAAAACTACTATCAAAAGTGTTTTGCCCACCAATTTTATTTTTGAAACTGAAAGACAAAATATTTCTAGATTTAGTTCAGCGTGAATTATAGTCCTGTTAAATAAGTATTGGAAATTACAGTTCGTTGTTTCTGACCTAAATTCAATGGTTTATATAGGGGAATTCCAGAACACGAAACAAAAGGATATTTTACTAAATAAGCAATTTTAAAACAAATCTTCGATTACATTATTCCATTTGGACTACATTGATATTGTTTTCAATAAAATTTCAAATATTCGTCACATTCGATGTGCCGCCTATTAATACAACCCTGCCTGGTTTTTCGGCGGACTTCCTCTTAAACTGATTGTTAACTCACTTACCAATAATTTGTTTTCTAGTGATAACAGCTGATATAAAATCATTAAAAAAAAACATAGCCAGCTGGCTGTATTGTTTACACTTCTGTTTCCACAGTCCGACTGGTGTCAAAAAAAAGTTTAAGGACAGATGATACAAACAAATTTTTTCTTTGAAAAAGATTTAATATAATATCACAAGTTTAGAAAAGTGGATGGTTTTAAGAATTTTTTCTCCTAAGAACTGGAATATGAAAAAAAAATTGGAAAATATTAGTAATATTTCAATGAAAAAACAAATATAGACAAATCACATTCAGTAAAGGTTTACAAGTGAAAACAAAATTCAGAATATGTTACCATGGTGCTAAAGGTGTAATATAAACTTAAGAAAAATATATATATATTTTTTTTATTTTTTATTAGGAAAAGCTAAACGGTAAAAATCAGCCTATGTGATATTGCTTATTTTTTGTCATTTTGATCTTCCTCTTAAAATACACCTGGCTTGGTATATTTTTCTAAAGTTTATATTACAGTTTTAGCACCAAGGTACCATATTCTGAAATTTGTTTTCACATGTAAACCTTTACTGAATGTGATTTGTCTATATGTGTTTTTTTTTTTATTGAAATATTACTTATATTTTCCAAGTCTATTTCATTTTCCAGTTCTTCGGAGAAAAAATTCTAAGAACCATCCACTTTTCTAAACTTTTGACATAATATTAAATCCTTTTCAAAGAAAAAAAATGTTTGTATCATCTGTCCTTAACCCTTGTCCTGCCAGGCATTCTATAGATAACAGCATCTGTGGCTGCCAAGCTGATAAGGAGCTCCAGCCGCTGACTGTGCCAGGCTGATTTGTAATCTTTTATCAAATTACACTAGCTGAAGATAATTGTAATTTACACTGTTTTCTTATCTATTTTGCTAATAACAATCTGTGCAACTTTTATTCAGGAAGAAACAAAGAAAAATATTGTGAAAAAAAAAATCTGATATATTATTTCAGTCAAAAGTTATATAGGATTAAAGTCACAAAATTTGCAAAAATAATTTTATTTCAGTAATTATTGCCATTAATTAATTCTGACTGAAAAAAATTGATATTTTGTACAGAAATTCATTCTTGTATTAAACATGCTGATATTTCCAAAATCTTACCACAATATAAAATATATAAATGTCCAAAAACACTCAAATAAACAAAGTCCTCCAAAGCACTCAACACTCATTTTGTTTACTTTTGTCCTGGATGTTAGCATTAATATTTACATCATTTAAGAAAGTACTTTTGTTCAAACAATTAAATTTAATCACTGCTGTTTATCACATCCATTCATAGTTAATCTGAATCATCAGACTCCACATTTTGGTCCTGACGTCTTTGGTAGGCTTGTTTGAAGTCCTTATTGGTATGGTATAATTCAAAACAAGGATCTACGCATAGTCCTACATCACATATCCTGCATTCGTAGGATGACCGTACTGTTTTGCGACCGTCTCCAACAGATTTCCTTTTTCCCGTTGTGGTAGAGCACACTGGACACGTCCTCAGAGGCTTAGACTTGTTACCTTCCTTCTGTTTGATCTTGGAAAGGAAGTGGCGCCCAGTCAGCCGTTCCATGTCTCTTGGATTTACAGCCCCCCTTACAGTTACTGGTTGAGGGCTGGTCTCACCAATATGAGCCTTCACAACTTCCCTTCGGAAAATCCTGTGCAAAACTGGTTTTTTTCTCCATTTTGCACAATGTTCCTTGTACAACAGGTAGGCATTCAGGGTGGCCATCATTAGCAGATGAAAAAACACTTTTTTCCACCATTTCAGCGTCCTGCGTTTGAAGGCCAGGTAGGTGATCATCTGGTCACAGCGATCAACTGCTCCCATGTGTTTGTCATATGCTACAATGCATGTTGGTCTTCGAATTTGTTCCCCTGTCGTGCGGTCCACTCGTCCAGGTACATCAACAAATGAAGCATCATGTATTGTTGTACACATGTGGACGTCCCTTTTGTCCTTCCATTTCAGGAGCTGAAGGGTTCCATTGGTCATTGCCACACTTTCTCCTTTTTTCAGTTTTACAGTCTTCAGATCCGCGGGAACGCCTCTTCTGTTGGTGCGTAACGTTCCACATGCCCCCGTCTTTTTCTGGTATAAGTCATGAAATAAAATAGGTGAGGTGTAGTAGTTGTCAACGTATAACTTGTGACCTTTACCAAGGTATGGGTTAATCAGCCTCATTACCAAGTCATAGATCTTCCCCTTCTCTGATGGATTTTCTGATGTTCCGTGATAGAGCTCGAGCTGTGAGCAATATCCATTGCTCGAGTCGCAAAGCATGAAAAGTTTCACACCAAACTTATCCGGTTTGTCGGGCATGTAGACCCGGAATGATAGGTGCCCTCTCCAAGCTATATCATTCCTTTGTCAATGGCGATGTTTTCTCCAGGGGAATATAGTTCATTGAACTTCGTCCTGAAATGTTCATAGACTTTTCTGACTTTGAATATCGGATCGTATCCATCTTGTCCTCATGGTATCTGATTGTCATTGTTGTTTAAATGAAACAGTGACAATATCAATAGAAATTTGTTTTTTGGCATTGTTTTACCAAAGAAAGGGGTCTCCAGCATCTCATCCTTGCTCCAGTAGTCCTGTATGTCATGGTGCTGGACTAGTCCCATAGCAATTACCATCGCTATGAACCTCGTCATGTCGTCCTTCGTAACGTCCGTCCATTTGTGAAATCTAGACTGAGGTTTGAGATTTCGGCCTTGCGCAGAATTAAGGTAATCTTGAGCATATGTGTTAGTTTCTACCACGAGAATTTCATCAACAAATTCATCTGTAACATACAGTTTAAAGAAATCCACCATTTCTGCGTGTTCATCGAGCTCTACGTTTATTTTTTTCTCGCCACAAAACTGTAAGTTGTGAACGCCATAGTCTCCGCCCAAGTTTCCTTGAATGAAGTCCTCCTCGAAATCAGCCGTACCTTCGTCATTGTCGAGATCTTCTGGATTAAATCCTAAAAATTCCTCATCTGAATCATCGGCCATGAATATTTCTCTAATTATATCTCTGTTCTCAGGGTCTACGTCCTGTAAAACCGCATTTCCATCTAGCACATCTTCGACGACCTCCATTTTGAATCAACAACATTTACAAACGACGCGGTTTCGGTTTACAAGTACTATTTTTAATAAAGGTATTTCCCTAAAACTGGCCAATGAAAACAAAGAATTGAAGGAAAACTATTCTATTTTTAATAATTAGGTTCGGGCTGAAGGGACTCCCACTATTTCATTGGTTATTTTAGCTAGAAATCGTCACATGTCTAAAGTCGAAATAGTGACGACCGGCACTGAACGGAAAGCATGGCGCAGTGCACTATATCGACGACTGGCAGCGATAGCCATTTTAGCGGGTCACCACTTTATCAACGACCTGCAGGACAAGGGTTAAGTCATCTCTTTGGATTATTTAGCAATAAAAGTGGGGATGATTGATTTTGTGTGTAAAAAGACACACTGTGGGTCAATATGAGTTGCAGGTAAGAGGCCAGTTTTGCAGGTGTGACCTATCGAATGCTGGTTACTTGGCAGGTTTGCATGTTGGCTTCGTGAATGGTGGTCAGCATGTGTATGTCTTGCTTATTATGGTATTTTACAGTTAGCATTTCTGTTGGTTCTTTTCATCCGAAAATAACTTTTCATGTTTCAGTTCTACATTGCTTTTGATAGCTTCTGGTACACCTCTTCTTTTATCCGAGGTGTCCCACAAGCATAGGTGTTGTGAAGTTGTAACTCCTCAAACAAGTCAGGTGACGTGTAGTAGTTGTCCATGTAAATATGATGTCCTCGATCTAAAAGTCCACATCTTGTAAGTAGGACCATCACTGTTCTAGTAGTCATTGTGTATAGTCTTCATCTACTCCAATTGCATTTGCATACTGTGTGCAAGGTGTGCTTCCAGTGTAAATATTGAAACCAATACAGTAGTCACTTGCATCCTACCTGACGCTCACACCTGACAGGGTCACTGGAACTGTTGTGCAGGATGAAAATGATGATGGTGTAATTCCATTCAGTTAATGTTAGATTGTCCTTTTCATATGCAACAGAAATTCTGCATCAAGGGAAGTGCTGTCTTTTGATAACTGATTTCTTGTCACAAAGAGTTTGTGGTTGATCTTTCTTGTTTGTAGATGTGATCCTCAAAAAGGCTCAAACAGGTCATTAGCAAGTTAAATACTGGTAAAAAAAGAAGATCATGGTATACATGGTGATTCATACCCATTTAGTCTCTCATGAGGCTGTACCCTATCCATGTTTTTCCTGTATAGGTGTCCTGTCTGTTTTTATGTTTAAAGTCAGGATTCACGTTATGTACAAGGTTCGTTCATCACAGCGGGCCCAGACTTTTATTCCCAATTTCTTTGGTTTGGCTGGCATTTATTGTCTCAGTTCTGTCCTTCTTTGTAACCCTTCATGGCTTCCTCAATGGAAATCTCTGTTGAATGTTGGTAAAAATTTCTTGAAGTTTCTGTTTGCTATGTCATAAAGAGGCTTAACTTGGTGTATGGGTTGATGCTGGGGGTTGTTTCTATGCTGACAAGCATCCTTTGCATTCAGGTAAATGCATTGCATAAGTTTGACATACTTGTCTCTGGACATAAACATTTTGTATTTTAAATATTCCTCATACTGGTGATGTGGGGAAGCTCACCTCAAAACATTAAGTCCAAAGTAAGCCCGAATTTGGTCACCGGAAGTTGGGGTCCAAGTTCTGTCTCATACCCCATTTTCCCGCAGGCACAGGACTACATTGCTTTTGTTTCGTTGGCAATTTTCTGATAAAAGTCTTTGAAAATGAACAAACTCAAATAATCTAAAGGAGTTACTGTATCAATAAATTTGTTCAAATAAGGGAAGATAAACAACACTTTCTCCTATTCCACCATTTACACACTTGTCTATTTCCGAATCATGTTGTCTCAAGTCATGGAACAAGATGGGTGAGATAAAAAAAATTGTTCATGTACAGTTTGTGTCCTTTGTTGAGGTATGGTCTGTTGAACAGGTCATAGATTTTTCCTTTAGGTGATGTTTCATCTGAGGAACCAGTGTAAATTTCAATCTGTTAGCAGTGGCCATTTGACGAGTCGCACAACATAAAGAATTTTATCCCGAATTTGTCTGGCATGTCTGGCATGTAGACTCTGAATGAAAGGCTGCCTCTCCATGCAACCATTCCTTCATCTATTGCTACATTTTCCCCAGGAGAGTATATATCTGCAAATTTCTGCTTCAGCTGGTCAAATATTCTTCTTAATTTGATGATAAGATCATGTCTTTCCTGTCCTCTGCAGTGTTATTGTCATTGTTGCAAACATGAAAGACAACATCAGCAGGAATTTATTTTTTGGCATTATTTTCCTGAGGCCTGGAGTTTCCAATAATTCATCTTTTGACCAATGATCTTGAATATCTTAGGGCTGGACAAGTCCCATACCGATTACTATGGCCAAAATCTTATCATATCATGTTGCAAAATGTCATTCCATTTTCTGAATCTCGACTGTAGTTTTCAGATTTGTCCTTGTAGAGACCCTAAGAAATCTGCAGCATATTTGTTGGTTTCTTAAACCATAATTTCAATGATGTGATCATTGATGAAAAGTTTCACAAAATGATCATTTCTACGTGTTCTTCAAGATCCACATTAATTGTTTTCTCACTGTAGAAATTGAAGTCACGGAAGTCTAAGTTTTCAAGAAATTCTTTGTCATGGCTTTCAATGCGTTCGTTTATGATATCTCCGATGGATTGTCCATGTTTTGATTTCAGAATACATGTAAGAGACTTTGGGGGGTCATTAATATAATTGAATTGGACATTAAAACAGATATTATTGTCAGACCCCTCCATGTCCTTGAACTTTCATTCCATGTGAAGGGTTTTCTCAATGATCAATGTTAAAAAGGCGTGTTTAAATTAAATATTTACGATGCAGAAAAAAAACGTTTCTGTGACTGCTGTGTATATAAATTTGGTATGTCTATCCCATTTTTTTTTTTTTGGTAAACCAAAATCTGACATTGGCGGGAATGTAAAAAGAAGAGGAATTCCATTTTTTTAAGCTTCAAAAAATCGGTTCGGCGGATCCATAAACCAATTTAAAAAAAAAAAGGGCCTTATGCATTCATACGTATGAAACTCATTATTTGTCACAAGAGTATCAAATCCATTTTTTAGACTTGAGCACAATTAGTTAATGAACTCAACGTCAGGATGGTTTGCTAATTTAAGTCGAAATATGTCAATGTTGATGTTAGTCAGTGAAGCTAGTCATTTACTAGATGCAGTAGGAAATTGGACAGATTTGTTTTTATTTGTATCTGTCTTAGTTTGTTGGCATTCTAATCTAGAGTGGTTAGACTTGCATGATTTCCAAAGATGTAAATATCTGCAATAAGGTTTGGTGCAATCCTTAGTAGCATTGAAATAGTTGCATATTGGTTCACCTTCATGGAGTTTTATGTCACGCCCATGTATGTCAACTGCTTGTCGCGATGAGCAAGATGTCATAGGCTGTCTTGTACTTTTACTACGTTTGAAGGACTTGTGTGGGCACACAAGGTGACTGTGGATGTTGGAATGACAAAAGTCACAAGGTTTAATGGGAGAACAAGCACACACTAATGTTCTAAGTTTGTTATCTCCTCTTGACCAATCGACCTCGATGTTATTCTGCAGCAACAATGATGCACAATTGTTTGAGAAAATTTGAGGGTATTCATAAAAGCATACTGGCCAGATGTTAGCTGTTTCCTTAATATGTGATAAATATGAATCTAGTTTACGTCCTTACCTGCAACTATGTCAGCTCGAATTTCCAGTGAAAGTAAATCCACAGCTGAAATCTGAGAGGAAGGAGTTCCTGCTTCAGATGTTTACATTGCAATACTTAGATTGAACTGTTTTACTTCTGTTGATTCTTGAATGTTAGGGTTCCCTCTGGAATGGCTCTGTACATGTAGTAAAGACCAGTTTCATCTGTGTTGTACACATCGTCTGGGTTGTATTCTCGTAGAATTTCTGGAAGAACGTTGACTTTCCAGTTGTCTGCAGTGTTGGTGTCAGCATCTTAATTCTTTTCCCCATGCCTTCTGTTGCTTTGAAATCTGTAACGCTGAGGCGTCCACAAGTTCTGTCGCTTTTTCTTGAAGGATGGGTCCCGTAATCGGAATATCCCGATGTATGGCTGCTTTAAACCTTTCTTTTAACGCTCCCTTGACTTCCGCAGATTTTCCACTTCTTTGTGGTTTTCTCTTGGGATTAGCACATGACTGGTAATCTTCTTTAATCTTTAATCTGTTATTTGATATCAAGCTCACAGTGGATTGGGAAATTCCTAGATGCCTTGCTATTATATATCACTTTAGAATCAAATGGTGCAAACATTTTTATAGAGTTCTTGTCAATGAAGAAAATATGGACAAGTAGTGATGAATTGTATCATTTTTGATGAATGATAAATACCCCTGAACTGCTAGGCATTGACAGTCCCCTTGTGAAAAAAGACTTGGATATCCCAAGATTTCCTGAGATTTTCTCTAAATATCTCGGTTAAAAATCCCAGGAAATCTCAGGATTATCCCGGTACCTAACCTCAGGAATTGTCAGGATGGTATTTGAACAAGGATTTCTCAGGATTTCCCAGGACAACCTGGCAAAGCAAAATATCCTGAGATCTCCTGTGACTACAGAATTCCTGTCCTTGTCCTAGCTGACCTCAGGAATATTTCACAGTAGTATAGAAATCCTGAAATGTCTTGACAATTCCTGGGATCATAATCCTGGCCTCAGGAACTTGACTTTAAAGAGTAAAAATTCCCTAGATTTTTGAGATGTTCCTGAGATCATAATTTCAAGCATTATCCTGACCTCAGGAATATTTCAGGAAGTATGAAAATCCTAAGAATTATCTTGAAATATTCCTGAAATCAACAGATCAGTGACTCCTGACTGCTGGAATTCTGTCATTTTGAACCACATTAGGGTACCAGGGTTGAACTTGTCCCATTCTTTTCAAACTGAAGAAAAAAATAACAATTTGTCAAAACATTTATTCTTGTGTCAAA